TTGGGAAAAGGGTGCACCGTGCATGTATTAAACACTGGAGAGATCACATGGGAAAAATCACTTACAAATGCTCAGCGGAAAGAAAAGCTCCAGTGAGAGCTCACAATTTTTCAGGAACATAAATCCATAGGGAACCACGGTACATTCGTTCTGCACCTCACAAAACTACTGCTTTTGTTTTATTGTGATGTAGGTGGGAGGAAAAATCTATTTAATTTAGGAAACACTGTAAAAAAACCCCACAGCCTAAGATCCAGTGGATTTAAGTGGATTTGGTGGATCTAGCGGGTTTAGGAACTAGGATTCAGTTGTCCGTTTGTGGTTGGCATGCTGTTTGTAACAGAAACCAGCACTAGCAGAGAGAGTGGTGTACCACCTGAAATAGGAAAAGGTGCTGAAGAGGGCTAGTGAGGAAAGTCAGGAGCCCAGGGCACGTAATCTATAGGGGTATGTTGTGGGTCCTGGGGTCCTTTCATGTGGCACAGAGGAGACTAAGGGGGGGCGGGTCTAACTGTTATTTGGAGGGGAGTTACAAAGGCAGTGGAACCAAACTCTTAGTAGTAACGGATGGTAAGAGAAAGGCAGAGGGAATGGTTACAAGTTGTATTTTGGGAAACTCAGGCAGGACGTATAGCAAAATTTCTTCATAAGGTGAGTAGGGCAGCACTGGCACAGGTTACAGAAAGCAAATGGTAGAGTCTCCATCATGGAAGGTTTCTGTCTCACATGGGCAGCCCGTTGGCAACAGTACTATTCCTAGGGGGAGGCTGGACTAGAAACTTCCAGAGTTCCCTTCAACCACCATATCTGTGGTCCTTTGACTACAGATACTGGAAGATGATACAAGGAAACAGCTTGTATGAGCTAAGTTGTAACTTCCACAATGGCAACTTTTATCTCACCTCAACTTTACCACAGCATCTGTAAACATATTCTTAATCAGTGTTCAATTCTTTGCATAGCAAAATGGTTTTATTAAGGTATTTGTGATTATAATTTGCTAAATATAAATAGATTAATTTATTTTGCACTGTGCTAAACTTGTGTCAGCTGCATCTTGTGCCTCTTGTACCAGATCTATAGTGTTATGCTACAGATTGTTTTCAACCAGCTTTGGTTATTAGGATTTACAGAGGCACCAGCAGCCTATGGATAACTGCCACTGGTTTTCTCAAAGTTTCTTCTTGCACAGAGATTATCCAAGAAAAGGCCTTTTATATATGGGTCTTTTGAGGCCTCCAGCAACTTATTTTTCTGGATCATTAATTTCTGCAGTCCATGTACTTCTGTTAACTTGTTGAGGTAATGCGTTCAGACCCAGGCGAGTTTTATGATTTCATCAGAATGAAAGTATGCTTAGAGCACACTGGATTACAGCTCAATTAATTTTGCATCCCAATTAAGTGGAAGACAAGTCTTGTCACCAACAAGTCTCTTTTCCGTGTTAAATTTATCCCACTTCAGGTGTGATGCAGAGAATGAGAATGACTTACATGAATAGATGAAGACAGATCCAAGCTCTCATCTGCACTTCGCAAGATGCGAGCCAGCTTCAACCTGGACCTGCAGCCATTGCAGAGGTGCTGCTATTTGGGTATTCCCTACCAGCTTCTCCCTACTGACTAGCTCAGCAGAGCACGTAGCATAAATAGAGGTGCTTAGGTGAACCTTACTACTCCCTGTGGAAATATCTGATGTGGAACAGTGAGGAAAAAAATGTCAACAAGCTCCAAAGAAAGGAAAAACACCTAAGATCAGCATCATTCCGGCAGCAGGCACAGCTCTAGGGACTGCTTTGCCCGTAAGTTACCGCCTGGTTGGCATGCAGAGGGCATGCAGTAAATCTGTTTTAGGCACCTGCCAGCAGTCCAGTTTGTAACACTGAACTTCTCTAGCACACTACTCTCAAGAGGACTGAAAATTACAAGTTTGTATAGGCGGTTTCCTCTTCTGCTTCCAGTATTCATCCCACTCTGCTTTGATTCTGATTTAACTGGAGATTTTATTTTCGCTTTTCTCTTGATTATAAAAAAATTAGAAATTGTTTAAACTCTGTTGGGCAGTTAGCTTTATATATAGATCACATAATGAGGAGAGTACATGTGGTAAACAACATGCTTCATTTCCAGGTGGCCTTGAATTAAACACATGATTATCTTCCTGTAATCAGCTCATTACACTGATTTTCTTGCAGAATTGGTCCAGATGACCTCTTCTTTCCTTCCCCTCAGCTGTGCACAGCAGGACGTCCTAGAAGACTGCTGCCTGTGCCATTGATGCAATTTTGTGCTTGTGGCCCTTGGGCAGTACTTCTCCTTTAGAGGAATTAAAAACTACAGAGATTATCTCAGCGTGCACCTATATGAACACAAGCAAATATTTGTCATACCTATGGATACGAAAATTTGATCAATGCTATGAAAAATCCTGTTGTGTTATCACAAACCTAAACAAGCGTGGTGCAATGGTACAGCCTGAGAGTTGTGTAGAGTAGGTCAATGGTTCCCAATCATTCTGTCTTAGAAGGAAAATTAGCAGAGTGTATCACTGGATGCAGCCCTGTTCCCTGCCTTCTTCCCAGGGCTGATGCTGCCTTTTCGAAATCACGTTCTGGAAGCACAGTTTTCAGAGCTCATGCAAGTCCTGTCATTTGCTCATTTGTACTCCACTCTTCTGTGGTCACAGAACCAATGCTCCTGCTAGGCCAGCAGTTCAGGAAATTCTTGCTTCTTAGCGTTGTTTCTCTTTGTACACAGATGATTTTTTTTAAATTTTTTTAATTTTTTTTCTGGGTCATTTCACACATGCCCATTTCTGGGTCATGGACTTTTGATTTTCTGGGTGTCCGATACAGAATTAGATGAGGGCTGTCTCTCACTCACACTGGCATTAGGTAACAAGCTTGACTGCAAGTCAGTAATTCAGCAAATTCCCAACTCAGTCACATCTCAACATAAGGCTTCAATGGACAGGATACTTCCCATGACCAATTGCTATCAGTAGTTTGCAGCATTTACTACAACTTCAACCTGCACAGGATAAACAGTATGGTTTCTTGTCCTTGAATCACAGGAACAATTGAATCCTGGAATAAATTATTGTTTGTCATTTGTTATATAGTTGTAGGGAACTGAAGATGGAAGAAATGAGAACCATGGACTTAAACCTCAGCCTGCGACATGAAGAAGCCAGCTGTAGTTTGTGACCATCTAGTTCCATGACTCCATCTTCTCTGGTCTCCGGTGCCAAGTGAGTTGGCAGATTTTTGCCTCCCTCTCAAGAGTGAGGAACAGCCAGTCTGCCTTCTCACTGCCAGGAAAACAAATACTCCTCTCCCCTTCCCCACCTTCAGGTGCCACTAAGGGAGTTTGCTGTTTTCTGAGACTTACTCAGTCAACTTTCCTTTCTGGCCCTCTTGTAACCTCTCTGCACAATAGTATTCCCTCTCCCAGGGCTCAAGCTGTAAATACACCAGACCTAGGATACAGAAAGGACACATTTCTGGCATAGAATAAGATATTAAAACCCACATCTGATTATTTTAGATGTTAAATTACTGGAGCTCTTTGCAGTATTGGAATTATATAAGGAATTAATCGCACACATACACACATTCAGCTGCTATGAAATAAGCAGACCAGACACACCTTCCCCATGAGGAAAAGCTGCCACATACATAATAAATTGGACTTTGATAGTGCGGGCAACATCTCTCTGAAACTGCCCAAGAAACCCTGAACTGCCCATAAGCAAAGCAGCCCTGCAGACGTACACAGGGCTCCTCCACCGTAGATGGCAGTAGATCCAAAAGAAGGGTGGAGGGAACAGCACAAGGGGTGCGGCAGCATTAACAATACACTGAAATAACTAACAGGGATGAAAAGAAAAGAAGAAAAAAGCCAGCTCAAAACTGATAGAGATCTTTAATTTAAAAAGTGAGTAAGTTTATTCATTGGGAAAGTGCAACAAAATACCCCAGGGATAGTGCATTCCACTCCAACAATTAAAATTGCATTAAAAAGCAGATTGGAAGGTCTGAGTGTTAAAGAGAACTGGCACAAAAGCTAGTGCTTTTCTTTGTTTCAATATGTTTATCTTTGGGTGACAGAGATAGTCACTGATTAATTTTTTTAGGTACTTAATTTAAAACTTCATTGCTTCTACTTGCGAGTCATTCTGTTCCTTAAAGATGCTAGCTTGGGACTGGAGGACCATAACCTCCAGGCACTTAAGAAGGGGCAGTTTTGAAAGAATGGGGATGTAGGGCTCGGTCTCATACACTGTTGGGAGGAGACACAGCTGGGAGCTACTAGATAGTCTCAGAAGATATTGCCCCCAACTGTTTCTCTCTAAAATCTGAGGTATGCAAAAAAAAAGTCCAATTCCACTCAAGAGCAGTTTCTGCTGCAGCTGAGTAAGTGCAAGCAGGCAAAAGGAGAGCACAGAACTACAGTAAGCTTGCAGCAGGTTTTGCTTGAGGCAGCTGCTAGTTTCTGATCACCGAACCAGTTTCTGCTGTAGAGGTAATTCTCTTGGAAATGCTGCAGGTAGGTCTCACCCCCATAGCAGCGTATTCTCATACTTGTTACTGCACTTCAGCTGAGCTTTGCAAGCCCAATAGGCTTCTTTAACACACAGCAATTTTGTATCTTTTGCTAGCACTTTCTGCCCACTGATTTCAAAATACTTTATGAGCATTACTGAACCAAGCTTAAAATTCTCTGACATACAGGTATTTTAAAGGGAACCAAGTCCAGTAAATGTCTGCAACAAAAAAGCAATAGAGTTCATCTCCTGAGTCCCAGTCCAAACCTTATCCTTCTTTTTCTTTTAAATTCTTTTTCTCCCCCAATTTACTTCTTACAGGAAGAAGGACTACATTTATTCTGTAGAAGTTTATTAGTCCCAATACAGACAAGTGGCTTCTAATATGATTACATTAGTTCCCAATGCCGTATGGAGGTTGCCTGTCCAGTCCACGTCAGCATGATCTCCTGGTCTCAGCTGTCTGTATTTGGTTTATGTCTCTTGGCTCTGCTGTTCTCCTGCTGGTGACTGTCTTCAGAGGGTGCCTGCCCCTTTCCATTTGTCCCAAATTCCTCTGGAAACTTCTGACCCTCAGCCAACACCTGTCGAATAGTCATATTAATGCGGGAAGACTGCAAGTACTTGGCACAGACCTGCCAATCCTCATCAGAGCTGTGCTCAATAACCGAGCCAACAGGAAGGTCTGAAGAAAGTTCTTGTTCCAGGCATGAAGGCAAAGCTGTCCCTTCAGGGTTGGGGAGCACCCGGGGGACAGCATGGTACAGCAGACGGCTGAAGCCAGACATCACCATGATATCTCCACTGTGCATGAACATTGCTGTTGGGGCCTCCTCCCGCTTCAGGCCCCCAAGCAAAAATATCGAGGATTGCCCAAAACTAGAGATGGCATGAGGATGGAGAGAGAAGAGAAAACAAATTCAGGTAAAGAACAATTATATGTACAGTAAGAAAATATTAGCACTTAAATACCTTCATAAAAAAAATCCCAAACAAGAAAACCAGATGGACACCTATAACAACTTTACAATGAGAACATGGAAAATAGACTAAGAGGCCGGGTTCAAGGTAAGCATAGTGTGAGCGTTGTCCTGCCAGGTCTGAAGCTCTGCTGAGGTATTTCATCCTTGCCTGCTAGTACCCAATTGCCACGCTGCTGCTTTAGAACAGAACCGTGCTCTGTGCAAAAAGCTCTTCCACTCCAGGTGCCACATCATGCTATTCAAGCAGTCTTCAAAGAAAAACCCTTTCCCTTGAGCCACAGCTTCCTACTATTCAAGTCTTCAAAGAGTAAAGATTATATACCCAATTAGCAAACTACATCATACCAACTTCCTATAACCATATGCAACCACAGAAAAAAGGCTACCAATCCTTCCACAAGACCCAAGTGCTTTCCTTGACTCACCTGAATGATAAAAGGGGCCGAGAATGGTCTAGTTCAGACTCATCCACATGAATTCCCAATGATGAGTCAAAATGATAGTAGTTCAAGATCCCTGCTTGTGCTTGGAAACCCCGGAACCCACAGGCTGCAGCCACTTGTTCTGACAGGAATGCAAGGTCTGAGGGGAAAGGAGTGTGGTGATTTGCTGAGTACTTCTGGAGGAAGGAGAGTGGAAAAAAAAAAAAACAAACAAAAACAAGCCACACCCAGAACATCAGAGCAGCAAATACAACTGGAAACAAACATTGAATGAGAACTCAGAAGTTTGGCTGATAGTCATGGAGGACATCATATTTGCCTGGAAAATCACTACAACATAGGTAGAACCACAGCAAGTTTACATCTTATCATTTAATTCTGGGCTATGCTAAGACTGCCAGACATTAATTAATTGTGGATTAATCACTGTATCTGGATGGCAAACTTGAAGTCAGTAAGACTAGTACCTAAGGTTAATACCAACATCCTGAGGATCTACTTGGTCACTACCTAAAGCTGCCAATGGAAAGACAGTTCTGTATCTCATCAGCAGAGTTCTGAAACAAGCATCTTTGTTCCTGCTTTGAAGAATAAGACAACAGGAATCAATTGCAAACCTACTTTTTCCTCTCTCCCATGAGTGATTCTGAAAGGCCTGGAAGGGAATAACCAAGTTTTTATTAAGGCCACCCAATAACAGGCTGACCTGGTAAATTTAAGGCTGCAAGCAGATTTGGTGAAGTATCTTCAATATACTGATAAGACTGCATGTTCACTCTGCCATCCTTTCTCAGCCTCCACCTGACTCAGTCTTACAAAAAACTTTATTTTGGTCAGGAGCCCCAAAAGAGCTGTTAGTTGGTGAGACTGTACTATACTGGTTCAGACTCTTAAGGTCAAAGTCACATCAGCAGCAGTCTCTTCAGGCTCTCGCTCACCCCTCAAAAGAGTAGTAGTGTCTTAGAAGTAGCTGTCTTCAAGCACCATGGTCATTTTCACTGTAGGTAGTTAACAATGCTTTTGTTACCATCCCTTTTGTTAGGCTAAAAATGCTCACTGACCCTGAAATAGAGTCACAGGGCTAGAGATGAGTATATGCTACCATGTTACCTTTCAAACGAAAGAATGCAGCAATGGAATTTTGCTGTTAAATCCTTCACAGTAAACTAATACAGATTAAAGCGTTCTTACAAGCATGGTTTGTGAGAGCCTTTCCTCAAGACTGTTTTGTAGGATCATAAGCATTTTATTCCATGATACCCTCCTCTGTCTCCCATTCTGAGTGCTTACAGCTAGGACAAATGGAGAAGAATTTAATTGCAATACCTTAGTATCCCAATTATAATGGTAACCAAGGGTCACCCAGCGCAGCTTCTCCAATAAGCTTCTGGGCTCCCGTTTACTGGAACCTTTCCTTCTGCAAAGACAAAATGGAAAGAAATAGGGTATGTGTTAATTTCTGAGGGTTTCTGGTAGTGCAGCATGCAGTAATGAGATTCATTCATCCATATGACAGCCTATTAAAACCATCATTGCTAAACTTTTATTTTCAGTGCCATTATTTTTTTTCCTCCAAAGACCTTGAAAATTCAGTTCATGCAAATTGTGCAAGCTATAGGGCTCGCTGCAAACCGCTGTCAGTTTGAAAGCTTCTATTTTCAACATGGTACATAACGGGTTATCAGATGGAGACAACACCATGAACTGATGCAGATTCAGAAGTCAGAATTAAGCATGTACTATTTGAGCACCTGGAAGTGAAAGAACAGAATCTGAGAAGATCTAAAAGCTGCAAACACAAGGAAAAAATATTCTAGGCATTTAATGGAAAATAACAAGGAAGGGAAATGCAGGAACCCTAATATGCTCGGTAGGTCCATATTTCCAGCACTTAGTATTTTGCATGTAATTGCTAAGGAGAGGAAAGTCTGAGTGTTATGCATCTGGAAACAATGAGTTTCTAGAGCTGTAGCAGAAGATGCTCCTACAAGAAAGCAGAGAAATGCTGGTCTAACTACGTTAGAAAGAGAACAAGACTGAACAGCAGGGGGGCTTTGGTCTGAAACTCCTTTTTTTTCTTTATTCACTGGTAAATGATTGAATCTATAAAATCCCCCCAGCCTTTTCCTTATACATAAGGATATACATATCCCTTGTAGGGATGCTCCACCTCCTTTTATGCTTTTAATTGTCTCCAGCACTAAAGAAAATATCCAAATGCCACTTTGTGAAGACAGCATAGCATACTTTTCTAGGAACTGTATGGACTTTCCCTCCCTTGTGGTTCCTGCATCCTGAAAAGAGAAGATAAGCCATAACCCAAGCATGTTTATGCATCTTCCTGATGGCTTTAAAAAGCATTAAAGTTGTGTCCAATCTCGCAATTAGACCACTTTTTAGTTAAGCACTCTGTTTCTCCCCTCCCTGAAAGGCTCTCACTCCAGATACTAGACAAGTTTGCTAGTTTGATCCGCTGTCCCCTAGGTAAAAGCAAAAATACAGCAGTTTGCTCACTTGGGAGACTCAGGCAAGTGCTTAATAAAACTGCCAATGTTTCTGCCAGCCATCACTCTTCCAAACACTATTTTCAACTGAACTGGATTCAGCTGCAAATTAACCTCTGTTCTGATCATTCTCTGTGCACACAGGAGGTGCTGCTGGGAAAGGCCTGTCAAGCTGCAACAAGTACCCCACTTTTTTCAGCTGTAGGGCACAAGGCACAACACTTTCAAACAACATTTTTTTCACCCTTTATGGAACACAAAAAAGGTGTCTGAATTTCTGAAACTAATTCTGACTAAGCCTGGAAAACACAAGTGGAGGCATAACTCTTCTAGGTGCAAATATTTTAAAGTCCAAATCTTGCTTTTTTAGATGTAACAAGTATTTTTGAAGAAAAACCTCAGCGTGTCAATTTTACTACAAGACTGAGGTGGAAGATGAGAGTTCTAGGGAACTCTGGTCATTCCATCACATGAAACGATTGTTATGAAAAATGAGCAGTGAAATCAACAACATGATGATAAATACCCAAACAACTAAAAGGTTGTATGTATTTTTACAGGTGACTTAAAAAAAAAAAAAATCTTTAAAACTTCCTACTTGACTTTAAAACTTGGACAAATTCTCCATTAACTTCCAAATCAGGTAGAGGAAAGGCAGCTGCATCAGCCACAGAACTCTGAACCTGGAGGAATCTTTCAGAGTAAACAGGATTGCCATGAAAATGGCACTATCTCAGAGTGAATGAAATAAAAATCCCCCAAAACAGACCCAAACCAAAACCAAAGAAATACTTTGGAAAATAAACCCACAGAAACTAGCTGACTGAAAAGTTCAAAGAAATGCAGGTAACAGCCTTTCAATTACAGTATACTAGGGCCGCCAGCTGACTGGGAAGAAGAGCTAGCGTGAGTGCGGTGCTTGGAAAGAATCCCTTTTGCTTCAGGAAAACTGAGGCCTAGAGGGACCTCATGGTTCCACTTGTAGCTAAGCTTCGCAAGCTTCCAATATCAGCCAGGGTCACTATTTTACATTTGACTGATGGCTTTGGAATAATTTGCTACTAGAAAATCCCATTGTGAGCATGAAAGCAAAGAATTAACACAGATGCACATCAAGCCAGGAAAAATCCATCTTTAACTTGGCATGTCTGATGCTATCTGTATACTGCCAGCATGTATGCATTCTTTTTCAGCTTCCCTTCCCTGCTCATTTTTCTTAGAGCTTCTCAGAGCCCAGACCTTCTAGCTCCGTTAGTTTTGACCACCAAAGGTTATTGTGGACTTACCTCAGCTGCTCCTTGCTCTGTCCCCACAGGTCAATAGTCTTCTCAGGAGCCATATGCAGGTCCAGGTTGCAGACATTGGGTTTCTGGGGGTATAGCTTGAGACACTGTTTCACCCAATGACGCTGGCAGCCCGGAAGGAAAGGGTTTGGTATGAAAATAAACCCTGACGACAGAGAATAAGGGAGGGGTTGGGAAGAAAGTATGATTAGGCATTTCGCTGTTTTTTTCTAAAACTAGAGCAAACGACAGGGGTTGGAGGTACTGGAAAAACACCATGGACATACAACCACTGACTTTGCATGTAAGCAGATTAAATCTATTAACAGGTCTGAACAGTTAAAACATTGGTTTTTTCAGTACAAACAAACGGTGGCCATAAGGTAGAAGGCAGGGAGAGCAGCCAACACTGGTCCAAGTAAAAAATGACAATAAAGGACATATCTGTGTAAGGCATATTGATTGCAGGTAGATCAAGGCGTAGGAACTTGGAAAGCCAGTTGCTTTGGAGTAAATTTGATTTTGGAATGATTCAGCAAGATTTTTCTCTTGAACCCTGTGAAGTTAAAGTAATTCTGGCCTAGTTTTACTAGACTTCAAACTAACCTTGTCACTGCCTCTGAACTCATACTGTCTTCTTATTGCTACTTCAGTGTCATGAATTGCAGAGAGCAGTCCGTGAGCTGAGCAAGTCTCTAATAACAAACTGTCCTGTCCTTTGCTTCATGCTTATTTCCAGGTAAGTCTGGTTCTATCCATCTTTGTGTTTTGGTATGGTAATACTCATCAAAGGGGATGAAAGTCAAATTGTATCCCAAACTGCTTGCTGCTGACTGCAAATACTTTGCAGTAATTGTTAACTAACAAAACAAAATAAACATGTAGCTAGCCTGCACATTCATTTAGCCAGGCACCTCAGGCAGAGTTCAAGCAGCAGCCCAAATAAGAGGGTTAGCAGAGACGTAATGGATTGATTTAGTCTGTATCTTAACAGACAAAGAGTCCTTGACATAACATCTGCCATCACCAGGAGTACTAACAGGATTCTTCACTGGAATTTTCTCCCCAGCCCCCCAGGGGTGTTTCCTTCAAGGCCAGGGTTGACGGTATTGATGAAGGAGTGTCTGATGGGAAGATGCTATTAATCTGTATTGTACCTACACTAAGAATCAAGGCCCACTCTTAAAGACAGTCAATTCAGTAAGACTCACCAATACAAAATTCACATACAAAGAGAGATAAGGGTATATAAGGAACAAAGGAAAAGGAGGTTTCAAGGTTTTTGAACTGTGTCTTTTTGAACTTCTCAGTCATATCAAGTTAAACGGAGACAAAAATAGATGAAAAAGGAAGAAGCAAGGCTAGGAGTCTCAGTAAGATACAAACTTGCCTTGTGGCCTTATGAAAGTGGTAATAAAAGTACAGAAAAAGCTTCCTGCCAGCATCTCTCTCAGACCTCACAAGATTAAATTAACTGGTTAGAAAAAGAACCTTCAGTGCATTAATAATACACTGTCATTCATTTCATTCCATTCTGTGCACCTTCAGACTATGGCAGCCTTCGGATAGGTCTGGTTACAAGAAGTTTCTTTGCCACAAGCATTAAATTTACTTTCTGTTGGCCTCTGCACAGAACATACTAATAGTACTGCCCTTCCCATCTACAGCTTTTGATGTGGAGTTCTCAAAGCACTTTACTACATTAATGAAATTACGCTGTACTATGTATGTATTATCTCCAGGTATTAATGAAGGAATTGAAGCCTGGAGGACTAGTTACACACAGAGCTGAGAACAATAATCCAAATTTTATGACTCTTCTCAGAAGCTTAGAACATGCTCATATCTCTCCAAACCTTTCATTGCTTACATCTAAGAAACCACATTAGTCTAGATTTACAGAAGTGAGAACAACTAACGAGTGGGTCGCTGCTATGCTTCTGATGTCAAGAAAGGCAGAAACCCCTGAATTTCTAACAGTCACAGAGTTTTACTATAAAATTCTACACTAATGTTCGAGACTAATAGTTCCTGGTAGGGCTAATAGTGCTAGAAATCAGTGACTTATCACACGCAGGAGAGAGAAGAGTAAGAAATATATTTCTGTAGCAATCGTTCTGAGCTGACTAAAGAGCACCACAGACAAGCTTTGAAGGCAACACAATTGAACCTCACGGCCTTGAAAGAGTTGGTCTGAGTGAAACAGGCAAAGACGAATTCTTTGGGGATCTGTATGGTAGATAGAGATTTCATTCAGTAGATACAGATACTTTCATTTTAGTGAAAGCTTTTCTTGGTCAAAGCAGAAGAAAAATGCAGTTAAGTGGAACACTTGTGATTCGCCCTCCACATAATTGCTAGGAAAGACATTTAGACAGACATAAAATGACAAGTGAGACCAAGCAAGGGCAGCTATAATATGACAGGTAAAAGGAACAAAAAATTTAGAGAGGCAAGAAGAGGTGGAAACCTTTCTCCTGAAGTTATTAAAGTCCCTGTATATTAACCATGCCAGATGGCTATTGTGGCTGCCTCAGTTTCAGAAATCATAGACTGGCTTCACAGCAACCCACACAGACACTAACTGCAGTCACGATGAACCAAAAGAAACATGAGAAAAACCAAAATCAAACAAACAAAAATCCATGAAGTAAGAAGGATCTGAGGAACTACAAACTCATCAGCCTTACCAAAACCCATGGTAAGATTATGGAGCAAACTTTCATGACAACCGTTTCCAGACATAAGGTGGCTGGGAATGGCCAGCATGGATTTACCGAAGGCAAATTTTGTCTAACCAGCCTTACTGCCTGCTACAGTGAGATGCCCAGACAAGGGAAGAGCAGGGGATGCCATTTACCTTGGCTTTAGCAAAGTTTTCCAGTCGGTCTCCTGCAGTGTCATTGGATCCAAACTGGGGACTCATGGATTTTATGGGTAAATTAAAAGGCTGAGCAAAAGCTGGCTGGGTCACCAGGCTTAAAGAATAGTGATTTGATGGTTCAAAGTCTAACCAGTGGCTGTTATGAGCTGCATTCTTCAGGTTGATACTGGAGCCAAGACTGATAACTACATCAACAACCTGGACAATGGGATGTTTATTCTCATCACACTTACAGATAACACTAAACTGGGGCAGCACGGAATATGCTGGAGGCTGTGAAGGTCCCTTTCAGTGGCAGCAGAAAACTAAATGAATGAGCCAACAAGAACCTCTGGAAGTTCAACAGTGATAACCCTGCACCTGGGGCAGAATAACCCCGTGCAACATTACAGCCTGAGGACCAGGGAGCAGCTCTATATCAAAGGACCAGGGGGTGCTGAAGGACAAATTGAGCATGTATCAGTAATGCACCCTTGTGGCAACAAAGGCTGATGATACATTGGCCTGCATTAGGACGCACTACCAAAAGGGGCGCTACAGAGAAGGTGGAGCCAAATTCTCCTCAGAGGTGCACAGCAAGTTAAGAGAGGCAACAGTCACAAATTACAGCAAGGTAAATTTTGATTACGCACAAGGTGAAAAAAAAAATAAAAAATCACAAGAGTGCCCAAACACTGGGAGAGGTGCGTAGAGGGGGCATGTAATCTCTATCCTTGTAGATTTCCAAAACTCACCCATACAAAGCTCTGAGTGACCTGATCTAACTTTCAACTTGATGCTGCTTTAAGGAGGGAGTTGAACTAGACCTCTGGTGGTCCCTTCCAACCTAACACTTTTCTGTGATTCTACTAGGTGACCTGCAAACCTAAGATCCATTTCAGTTTTTGAAATAACCTGCCTAATGAAATTACTCTGTACCTTGAATAGGACAAGAGGTTCTTACTCACTTATTGTACTTAGTGTTCTACATCAGCAAGTAGATGCCTTGAAATGACCTATTTCAGCCACTTATCTAATTTTCATTATCTATGTTGAGGAAAAGTAGATGCTACAGAAATATAAAATCTCTCTCAAAGGCAACAGGAATCCATTCTCACAATGGATGGTGTGGTTGATCAGAGACTGAAACAACTGGTCCTTGTGCTCTCACCTTTATAGCCCACCCTTTAGCTGACTCATTTGTCCTCCTGCATTTAAAATAACATTAAGTTATACTTAGGCAAACCAAAATAGTTTTTTCAGGCAGAGCAAGGAGGATAAGATGGAAGGTGACTGAATCCAAAGCAACAAGGTTATGTTTAATTTTTTTTGAAGCCGGAAGTACCTACCTGGATATCCATTGAGGCCATAGGCTTTCCACTGGCTAACTGGCTGTAATCCTGCTCTGTAGGCATCTTGATCACTGACTGAAGAAATACTTAGCTGTGATCTGAACACCTGGCAAAAGAAAACAGATCTGGTTAAAAGAAAAAAAGAAAGGAAGAAATACAAGACTCATCCAAAAATAGCACCTATAAGAAAGAGTGATACCATATTCCAAGGCAAGTCTCGTGAAAATGCCAACTGTACCACAGAACACTTGCCTGTGCAACTGTGACCAGAACAGGGGATGCTGCTAACAGAGCTAGTATGTACTCAACACAAGAATCAAAAGGTACCTACAGTTTGTACAATACTTAGGGATCAGGAGAGACATCCTCCATTCACAAAAAAAAACCCAAAACAAACCAAACAATTTATACCAATGAGAAAAAATTTGGCACTATTTGTCCATTTCCACAGTACAGCCTCATTGTTACAAAACATTCTGATAATTATCAATCTCCATTAGAGAGCAGTATTTAGTACCCATAACACTTTATACCTTCAAAGAATGTTCCAAATACAAGTTGCTCATGATCCTACAGGGTAGACGACTATTCTCATGCATAATTTACAGAAGGAGTAGTAGTACAGTGATGAAGTGGCCAAAGTTGTCTGATGTGAAGGACTGCAGAAACCCTGTAAATTCCAAATACCACACTGCCACTTCTATTTCCAACAGCATGGTCAACAGCTCAAGTCTTAGCAAGACACATTTTCTTGACGTAGTCTCTTGGGTCACAATAACACGTCTTCAAGCTGCAATAAGCCAACAGTTGCTGAAAAAAACACAAACTCATCCACTGTGTTCCCACTCCCTTCTTGCCTTTGGACTGGGAACTGTCTTAGGGAGGGCAGAGTAGAGGCGGGTTTGTTTTGTTCTCACTTAGTTCCCCAGTCCAGCTCTCCAAGTAGCTGTGCAAAACTACAGGCTCATATAAGGAAAGAGCTGGCCAGGCACAGTGGGAATAAGCAAGCAGGGACATGCAAGACTTTGTTTATGACAATTTAAAGTGTATATGAAATTAAGGCCTTTGTATGCAGACTTTGCAGCGGTGAATGTGTAGATCAGTCTCTCTGTAGGCTGACAGCTCTGGTTAATATCTTCTGAGCAACAGGTCTAAATTACGTACATAGAATTTGTACGAAAACTCTGAACTAGTGCTGGGCAGCAGCTTCTGGCAATGTGCTCAGTTTTACCAATTTTTCAGCTCTCTGGCAAAAGTAGCTTTGCAACTGCCAGCCTGGAAGAGCTTAGTTCAGAATCCTGTCTGCAGAACATCCCCAAGAAGGATCTTCCTTTGACTAAGACTCTGCCACCTCTCTGCCTTCTTAAACTGCTTACGCACCAGCTGCTGCCAGGGCTTTTGGAGAACAGGAGCTGTTTTTACGCTGAAGAATTACATGTGCTGAATCAGTTAAACAAGCCTGATAGCAGGGCAGCTGGGGCATGTCATGCTTCACTGAAGAGCTCAATCACTTGAAGCAGTTTTCCGAGAGAAAAGGAACAATAGTATCTGGGACAATCTGCCTGGCCTGTAGCTCTTCTCAAAGAGAAAAGCCAGATGTTTTTAACCTGAGGGAAAGAAGAATAAAAGATGCTTTCACTAGTAAGCTATCAATTGATCTTTGAAGGTAGCAGACACAAAAAGAATGATATGGAGATGGGACAGATGCTTGTGATGCTTTCAAGTACTTCAAATTTCCCAGAAGGGCTGTAAAGCTGGAATCTCAAGAAAGGCTGAAATGTTAACAACTCCCTTGTTCAATGCTAACACCTTGAACAATTTCATACGGGTCAGGTTTTGTGTCCCATTAACAATATCAAAATTGTAGTCTGAAATGATAGAAAAATATATATTCTAATAGAACAGTAAAAAGAAAAGGCTAAGCACTTGAACTATGATAAATTAGGCCAAGTTTAATTTTAGCTATATTCCCTACTCCCTTTTTTCCTACAGACTTATAGAGAGAAAATCCCTGGTTAACAATACTTCAGCAGACATCCATTATTAGAAGATGAGTTTAAAGGATCACTTCCCCATCACTCAAGACATGGTTAACTACCAACCATGACAGCTACGACTTTCAGATGTGCTCCTGACTGCGTGCCCCTAATCCGCTGCAATGGCTGGACTTGCCACGATGGCCGAGACATATGTTTATTACGTGGGAGTAAGAGAGGAAAAGAAACGAAGATCGCCAGAAGCCTGGGCACGCACTGCACAGCAAGGGGAAGCTGATCCCTCTCCAGCTGCCCCAGGTACTTCAGGGCCAAGACAAGAACCAGCAGGCCCAGGAAACAGTATCAGCTCCAACACCGAAACTTGCTTTTTCCCGTCCACGTGTTCCTTTACTTCCCTTAAGTAACGTGTGATTCTATTACAGGCTTTGGAGACCACTTACCGCAGCGTAGAGAGCTAATTAAACGCGACGGAAGGAAATAAACATAAGTGAAAGTGGTAAATCTGTGAATAGGCGGCGTGCTGGCCTGGGGCAGCCGGGACGGCACCTTGTGCCCTCGGACAAGGTCCCGTAATTGCTGCCGGCCCAGGGGGACCTCCGGCGAGCGGAGGGGCCCAGGGCCCTCAGAGCCACTCGCCCTCCCTCAGCCGCTCGTCCCCCCACCGGCGGGTC